TCAGCTTTCAGCCACAGGGGGATGGTGACGCTTACTTCTGGCTAACAGTGGGACGCTGTGAGTTCTGCAAGGGTGTAACCGTGCCCATTTCTAGAGCGCACCGAGGACAGTTCAAGCACCTTGATTGGCACATTGTGCATATTATCGCACTGGATCGCTGTGACATGGGCTGAAAAAAGAATTGTTTCTCCATCTCATACATGCCCAACATGGGCTCTGAGCTGTTCAATAACCACGTGTCCAAAGTCACACAGCCCATAAGTGGCAGGACCCATGCACAGAGAAACAAAAATCAGATGCGCTGAGGGACAGGTGTGCAGCAGAAGGAAAGCCACCCTGTTCCCTGAGGAGCTGCCAAGTGCGCGGGCCGCTGCCCCAGGGATGGACTCCTGCCATTTTTCACTGACAGACATTTTTTGGTGCTGCCGTGCCAGGCATTGTGCCAAACCGATGATGAGAGTAGCCCAGGATTCAGCGAGTAGAGATGAAATGACTTCCCCCAGTCAGTGAACTGACGTCGCTGTAATTGTGAAACAGTGATGGGGGAGGCAGGGTGACCGGTGCTGAGCATTCTATTGCGAGCACAGCACCGCCCAGCGAGAGGGGTGCTTGTGTTTTGTGTGATTGCACGGAGTCTTCCTAATAACTAGCCCCGAGGAAGGTCTTGCTAACTCCATTTTACACACAAGAAAGATGAAGCTCAGAGAAGGTGCCTGGCGTTGCCCAAGGTCGCACAGAGAGTCAGGTGGGGAGATCTGAACTTGGCTGAGCCTTCCAAGGCCATCTACTTTCTGCGGCAGGCATACCTCAACTCACCGAAAACCACCAAACTCACCACCAGCCAGTCCATTCGGACTCACATGACCCTGTACAACAGAGTAGAAGTGCCCCAGTGAGTTTCTGAGGCTCTCAGTCTTTAAGGAACCAGACAGCCTCATCTTTCTACTGAGCAAGCGGCTGGTGGGTTTGAACCACTGACCTTGCAGTCAAAGCAACTTCCCTATGCTACCAGGGCTCCTTGCACTAAAGCGAGTTACAGAGATGTTTTTGGTGTCCCGGTGTAGATCAAAGCTAGGTTTACCCTATACCCTAGACTATTAAGTATGAGAAAGTCTGAAAAATTGTGAGAATTACCACAGTGTGACAAAGAGACGCAAGGTGAATACACGCTATTGGCTAATAGACTTGCTCAATGCAGCGTCTGCCAAGCACAACTAGGTAAGGCACCATGGAACAAGGAGTTGCCTGCATGTCAGAGTGTAATGCTAGCTTTAATCATGGAATTTTTACTAGACTCAAAACTCTTCAGGGCCAGACCATTAAAATATATATGTTCCTCAGGACATAGTCAGACCTTGTACCTAGTAGGGACTCAATAAAGGCATGTGGTTTGGTCACCCATCACAGTGTGTGCAGTGATAGAACATCAAAGGCACCAAGATGTGTCTCATTTCCAAATTATCATACTAAAAGAACTACCACCATCCCAGTCCTGACGGGGTATTCAAGGGTAAGTCAGACTGTATTTCTACTAGGGTTCCAGTTCACACAGGCTGGTTTATTGCCAACATGGTTATAAACAGGTCTCTGATCAGTGGGCGGCTGCAGACAGGTGCTCTCGAGAACACACCTGTCTCAGTTACCTTCAAAACCAGATCCGAGCAAGACAGTGGTTGCTGAGGGGATCTCTGGGCCCAGCTCCATTCAAGGTAAAGTCAGCGCAGAAGGTTTTGGCGACTGTGCACGGAAGCACAGCATATCCAAAGCAGCTATTCTGATAGGTTTTCTAGAAGGACACAGAGCCACTGGAGGGCTGATTAGAGGTTTCTAGAAAACGGAAAACTTTACTGGTAAGGGAAAGGCCAGTAATTAAAAAAAACAAAAACAAAAACAAAAACACCCAGGAAGTTTTTCCATCACGACTAGGCACCTCGGGTCCAGGGTACCAGAGGACTGTCATTTTGAGAATTTTGTTGGGAAACCTTACTCCATCAGTTCTACAGCCCTGGTCTTGCCCCTTTAACCTTCTTTTTGGT